TTGTCTCACCTGAAAACACATCCACTTTGACTGAAGCTCAGCAGCTGTAGGAAATCTTCAGTCTGCTCCAGTAAGCTGTGGTTTAATCTGCAGATGAACCACAGACATATCACTATGTACTTTCTGATCATGGTTAGATAATAGAGGCCAGAAAGGAATGGTTAAACCCTGAATACCCTGAGACTCTTAGCATAAAGAGACTTTTGATATATAATAGATGCATTTCTAATCAGTTCCTTGCTGTCTTGATGCATGCTCAATCATCCTGGTAAGAAAATCCCAAAAAGTTCATCTTAGCGTTTTAAGTGGGAGAAACATTTCGTCACGAATCCAAGTGACTTCTTCAGTCTTAGCTGACTGCAGGTTTCCCCAACCTTATAAACAGTACATTTGCAAAATGACTGAAACTAGCACCACTGAAAGAGCAATGGGCTGTGAGGTCAGTTACTTGATCATTAATCAGGCAATTTCTTGCTGGCAGTTTCAAATCTAAAATGTTAACAAAGAAATATGGCCTTGTTGTGATCTTTCCATATTTTACAAGTAGTCAGTTTATGAATCAGTTTTATTAAGTGTAATAACTAATTAAAAAGAAGCCATTGTTTTTATCTGATGAAACCCAAAAATTTGTCTTAAGATTGAGGGATACTTACTCCACTTTGGCCAGATGGGGACAACTGGACACAATCTCTGCTAATCGGATCAGATGTTCATGCTTCAAACTACCTTCCCTGATTCTGATGGAGAAATAAAGCAGAGAAGGCAAAAAAAACATAAAGAAATTTAGATTTCTGCAAAGTTAGTGCCAAATCCAAAATGTACTAAAATCTTTAAAAGGCCTTAACCTCTACTAAGCCCCCAAATTACACTGTAATAGTATTATGTAGTGGACGTTTATTGAGAGCTGGAGGACGCTGAACTCTTGTTACTGTGAGCGCTAGAGTTAAGGAAGGTACTTTCAGAGCAGCTAAAATCGATCAGACACCAGAAACTAATTATGTCTTCGAATATTTACAACCACATTCTAAGGTTCACTGCATGCTCAGCTCTACTTCTGACATGCAAAGTCAGTTCCTTGTCGCCCACAGCGTGCAAGCTGGATTTAGAAGTTTTCAGCCGTTCATCTTTGCTGATGCAGTCAGTCAGTTTACCGACTCAGTGCATGAACCTTCAGATGTAGAGAGTTCACATATCTGTGCATACCTGTGAGATGTTTCCTGTGCAGCTCACGCAGGAAAAATTACAAAGCCAAAGGAGAGAGTCTGTTTTTTGTTTTTTTTCCACAATGACACTTTGTTACTTTGAATACATCAGCTGTTGACTTATACAATCAGACCACATG